AGAGAATTAAAGTACAACGACAACTAAAACTGAAACTGTTTCTTTGAAAGCTCGCGCCCGGTCGCTAATCAGCCACACAATTCTAAATTGCGAAAAAGACAAGGATATTTCCAGAAAACACATGCCTTTACATGCGAAAAATTTGAACGCAACCCCCTTCCGTCCCATTGATCTTCAAGATCCGACCTCGCGGCTTGCTTCGGGGCTTAATCCGAAGGCTACGCAAAGCCGCACAGTACGGAACTTGGCTTACCACACATGCTCTGATCAAGGAACATTCACTCAGTGGTGTTGAAGTATTTTCATGAAGCAATGAGCACACGCGACACACAAATGATCAGACATGTACACAATAATGATGATATTAAAGTAGTTTAATGAAGGGAAAAAAAAAGAATTTGAATGAAGAAGAAAAGTATTTTAATGAAGAAACAACCCCCTTCACTCCTCCACTGATGAACAAGAATAACAGCGAAAAAGTCCGCAAACAATGCCAACCAATATGAACACCTGGCCTGCTCTACTCATTTCCCCTTGCTGTCTATGCCGCTCACCATTATGCTGCTCCTATCTATCTCCGATCAAAGAATGATAATCCAATCAAAAGACATTGTCCAATCAAGGAATCTCTGACCCTAGAGCTCCCAGCCAAAGTCCAAATAGGCAAGCCTTCTCCCCGCCGCTCTTTTCTGCTCTCCCAAGGACCTTCCTTTACGGGGCCCAAGCAAAAACTAGAGAGGGGCCTGGCTCAGTAGGTACACCCATGACCTCCTCAACCACAGACCTCAGTTCTCATCCTAATGAACTCAAAAGTCCAAACTGTCCTGGGGAGGGCAGGGGCGGGACGTTGCCTGGTCTTGCCCAACCCTGTGCCCTTCAGTATAGGGTCTTTCAGGTGCGGTCTATCTGCCGGCCTTGTGGCCTTGCAGGGTTGTCACGCGGGGGCCCCCGGGGGCAAAGCCGGGGTAGGGGCTTGACCCCCGGACCCCCGCCGCCGGGGTGCCCC